CGGCTTGCGCGCCTGTGTGCTTTTGGGTTCCACGTAGGGGTTTACCTGTTGACCCCCCCCAGTGCATAGTGTCCGCCCCCCCCCTACTTAGCCGGTTGGTGACTGGCATTCAAATTGTAGTTTTTGTTTTGTTTTTCCTTCCGCAAGGGACTGTATAGTAACTTGAATTATATTGTGGGGGGGGAGAACCACTTCCTTAATTGCGCATAGCCATAGTGCTCTTTCCACGTGCTCACTAGCCCTGGTTTTCTCTTCTCCTCCATCTTTTGGTATGATTCTTGGCATTTGGTGTGGATGGGAATAGTCTTACCGTGTTACTGGCGTCTCTGATTTTGCTGTGGCCTCCATCTTTCTTTGTCCTTTGAGCTTGCAAGTTTATTGCTTCCTCACTCTCCTTTCCTGTTTGTGGGTCTTTGTTTGGTTGTCCCCTGTTTGGCCTAGTCTCAATTGTTCTGTGCAGTCTTGCCTTCCCCTCCTGTTGCCTCTTAAAGGACAGTCATTGTTGTCGGCTAGCTCTTCTGTTGCCTAGAAATGCCATTGTTGCTGCTGGCCAGCAGGAGAATTTAAATGCTAATGAGCGATAGTTAAGCCTTTTATTCCACTGAGGCACATTTCCAGAGGCTTTTTTGCAGCTTATCTCTCCTGTGAAAGGCAGAGGATTCCTGAGTTGTTGTTCTTTCGCATGAGGAAGGGAGGCTTGGCAGCAGTCTGCAGCAACCTTTAGTACCTTGGCTGGCAGTAGATTGCTCACCTATTGTTCTTTTGTTCTTTTGTTCTATTGTTCCTATTGTCTTTGGAAGCGAACCTTGCCAGCAGCCTTGGCCTTATTAATTGGAGTTTAGTGGGAGTGGCCTTTCTCCTAGCTGTTGCCCTCACCTGGCTAACACACAAAGGAGGTGTTATATATACCTGATTTACTGCCTAGTGATAATACGTGGTTACCAGCCCACCGGGCCACTGCCTGCTGGTAGCACAGGCAAATTCAGAGAATAAATTTATTTCCTTAGCAATAATAATCACAAGGCTGCGATAAACTGAGAATTTATTGGCTTGTCTTTGATTTGGTTATTTAGCACAACCATACTGTGAAATATTAAGGAGACTGTTTAGTAAAAGAGAACAAATAAGAAATTAATAAATGAATAAATAGAAAACCATAAACGGATAGATACATAGATAATACATAATAAATAAATAATAAATAGTTAATAAATTAATTAATTTGATATATACACAATAGTAATAATAATAACAGCATACATATATATACATATAAATAAATAAATAAATAATAATAATAATTTAAAATTAATTAATTAATAAAAACACACACACTCACACATACACACACACACTCTAATAAACACCGTTGCATTTGCACACCTTATGGCTCCTAAGAGGAAGCGCGCGCCTGTGGCCACACGTAGCTCAGCAGAGAACGCATCACGGGGACGACAGGGCAGGGGTAATAATACAAGGCCTCCCGTCTCCCACTTCATAAATGCTTTTAGATCTTTTATAGATGAATACGAACAGCGCTTCCCGGACGCGAACCCCACCCCCCCCTCTTCCCCTGATGTCATCCCGGATACCCAGGGGTTCCCAGAGAGTTCTCAATTTTCCCAATGGGACGAACTGCCAAGTACATCGGCCGCCCTCTTTAATGATACACAATCGGTGCGGACTAGGTCTCAGTCGCGGGCTTCGGCATCTGGGTCTCGGGCGCGGGGGGGAAAGCGACTTCTAAGTCTACTCGCAATAACAATCCTGCTGTCCCTAGTTCTTCCAATCGCTCGCAGGACAAGCGGCCCAGAGCCCAGTCGCCTGATTCTGCGGCTTCGTCAGCGGCTGAAGACGCGCAACAGGAGGAGGAAGGCACCGTCGCTGCAGCGCCAGTGGAGAAGCCTTCGGGTAAGAGGCGCGAAAAGAAGAAGCATGTATGTCGGAAGAGCAGGTCTCGGAGGGAGGACTCGGATGATGAAACAGGTACTTCTTCTTCGGAGTATGACAGTGACGCGTCCCTAGGTTCCTATTGGGGGAAGGGCGAGGAAGTCTCTGGACTCCCGGACTGGGCACTGTCGAGGAGGGCCAATTGCCATCGTAAAAAGTTTGGGGGGACCCAGGAGTGGAAGGATGGGGCTCTGGTAAAAGATGCCACCACATCCACCTACTCAACCTCAGATGTTATACCGGGTGATCACCTATCCCCTAAACTGCGAGCAAAAATCTTAAATGGTGAGTTTGTTGACATGTTTAAATTAGTGCCCCCAGCAGAGGAGTTAGGTAGGGGTGAAAAGAGGCCCTCGCATGGTAAGAGAAAGAGCAAGTACCCTTCTGTGCCTAGGACATTCGAAAATTGGCTTGATGGTTTTCAAGCCTTTATGGGGACAATTGTCGCTGCTTACCCCAAGCGGGCGGTTCACCTTGTTGCCTACCTTTCACATATTCGCACGGCCTGTGCCCTCTCGGGGGAGGCGGCGGCCATAAGCTATGACAAGAAATTCAGAAGGAAGGCGTCCAGGATCCCGTTAGCATGCTGGGATCAGATTGAGAATGGAATATGGTCCGTGGCGGTCGGTCCGTACGTGGAAAAGAGGCCAGTCGACTCATATCGGTCGACTAGAAGTGACCAAAGGAAGGATTTTAAGCGTAGGGTGTGCTGGGAGTTCAACAAAGGGTTTTGCCAAAGGCCATCTTGTAAATTCACACATGAATGCGAAAGATGCGCCGGGGGTCACCCTGTTACATCCTGCTTAAAAGGGGGGAAGCAGCCCTTTCGTGGAGGCCGGGGGTTCCATCATCCCAGTTCCAGGGGGGCCCCCGCAGCAGGGAACAGACGGTGAGGTAGTCTTGGGGTTGGCCTTTTCCCCTATCAAGCTCGTCCCCCTTTGTAATCTCCTGTCTCTTTACCCGGATGAGGATGCAGCTTCCTACCTCAGGGAAGGTTTTTCCAGTGGGTTTCGTATTCCCATAGCGGGTCCATTAATTGCGAAAGATTCACCCAATCAAAAATCAGTTAGAGAGAGACCGGAAGTTGCGGAAAGAAAGATAGCAAAAGAGGTCAGTGCAGGCAGGGTTGCAGGCCCCTTCGATAGTCCCCCCATACCAAATTTGCACATATCTCCGCTAGGCATTGTGCCCAAGAAGACCCCCGGTGAATTCAGGCTCATTCATAACCTGTCCTTCCCAAAGGGTGGCTCGGTCAACGATGCCATCCCGCCCGAGTTATGCACAGTGAAATACGCCACCTTCGATCAGGCAGTTAAGTTGATCCGCAGTTTCGGCCCCGGGGCGTTGTTGGCAAAGTGTGATATCGAATCGGCCTTCCGCCTCTTGCCAGTGCATCCCGCTGATTTCCGGTTGCTGGGTTTTAAATTTCAGGGAAAATACTATGTTGACCGGGCCATGCCAATGGGCTGCGCTGTTGCCTGTTCGGCATTCGAAGCCTTCAGCACGTTCTTGGACTGGGCCCTGCGTTTCAGGGCAAATACCATTGGGGTCACGCATTACCTGGACGATTTCTTTTCGTGGGCGGAGCCAACACGGGGGAGTGCGCCTCCTTGCTGGAGGCCTTCTCAGCACTGGCCGAGGACCTTGGGGTCCCTCTTGCGGCCGAGAAACGGAGGGACCAGCCACGCGTCTAACTTACCTCGGCATTGAGCTGGATACAGTGGCCCAGTCATCCCGCTTACCTGTTGAAAAGATTGAAGCCCTTAAACAATTAATTCAGGACACTCTTAAGCTCAGGAAGATCACCCTTAGGCAAATTCAATCTTTATTGGGCCACTTTAACTTCGCGTGCAGGGTGGTGTCCCCCGGACGCCCCTTCTGTGCTCGCCTCGCCAGATTGTCAGTCGGCCTGAAACACCCCCTCCACAGGGTTCGCCTCCCCAGGTCGGTCAAAGCGGATCTCGAGGTCTGGACAGCCTTTTTGGGAAAAATATAACGGGGTCTCTCTTTGGCAGGATGTTTGAACCTATCATCCGACTTTCAGGTTCAATCGGACGCGGCAGGGTCTTTAGGTTTGGTTTGTATTTCAAAGGGCGCTGGTGCGCGCAACGCTGGCCCTCAGCATGGCAGGGTCAGGCCATCACGCGGGATCTCACCTTTCTCGAGTTCTTTCCAATAGTAGTGGCCGTGCACATCTGGACAGAGGAGTTCCGAGATCACCGAGTGTGCTTCAGGACCGACAACCTGGCGGTGGTGAACATTCTTGCCAGGCAGTCATCGCGGTCTGCGAGGGTCTCCTCTCTCCTGCGGGCGTTCGTCCTCCGTTGCCTTGAGTACAATATCTTATTTTCAGCCAAATTCGTACCAGGTGCCAATAATGATATAGCCGACGCCTTGTCTCGATTCCAGATTCCTCGTTTCCGGTCGCTCGCACCTGGAGCACAACTGTTGCCCGAACCCTTTCCGGAGTACCTGTGGAACGTTGGAGGCGCAAAGTGATACAGGGAGTATTAGCGTCTGTGGCACCTTCCACGCTCAGGTCCTATAAGAAGGCCTGGTGTGATTTCCTGGGTTTCAGGTTTGGGTTGTCTGGGCTGTCACATAACACCCCCCCCCACCACTGATGACGTCCTGCAGTACCTGTCCCATCTGGATGACCTCGGACGTGCTACGAAAACCTTAAAGATCCACGTAGCAGCCATCAGCTTCTTTTCAAAGGCGACGTTTGCGCAAGATCCATGTAGCGATTTCCTGATCCGTAGAGCCATTGAAGGTTGGGGCAGGTTACAACCGCCCAGGACCGTGGGTCGTAAGCCTATTTCTTATGGATTGCTATCTCAGATACGCGTAAAGCTCAGGACAATTTGTTGGTCTAAGTTTGAGGCACGGCTCTTCTCTGCGGCTTACGCTATAGCCTTTTTTGGTGCGCTCAGAGTGGGTGAGGTTGTGTGTGAAGCTAGTGCGCGGGGTTTAACTCGCGGCCTCCTGTGGGAGGATGTGCAGCTATCCGAATCTGCTGTGTCAGTACTGGTGCGTCAGTCCAAGACCGATCAGACTGGCAAGGGTGTCCTGCTCAAGCTCACGGCGTCGGCCCAGCAGGGCCCATGTCCGGTGAAGGACACGAGGCGGTTTCTCCGCCTAAGACCTGCCATCCCGGGACCGTTCCTGATACACGAGGATGGGTCGCCCCTGTTGAGGTACCAATTCACTAGAGTAATGCGCAAGGCTATTGAGGCTTGTGGCCTACCCCCCATGAGTATGCTGCACATTCGTTCAGGATCGGGGCCGCCACCACGGCCGTGCACCTGGGGTTGCCGGCAGAAAGGATAAAAGAGTTGGGCCGGTGGAAATCCAATGTTTATAAGTCGTATATTCGCAACCTGACACCTACCCCTTAGTCTGCTTACCCTTCCTTTTGTTCTATCTTTGTTCCCAGCTTTGCCCGGAAGAAACGTGTGGATTTGCGGTCATAGCATTGTTCATTGGGCCCGCGTGCGAGCGGTGAGCTGCGGCCTGGCACCCAACCTTGGTCTGCCACGTGACGTTCGAGTTTCCTGGTTTTCGAGAAGAGGCATGCGTTGGAAGAACTGATGCCTTTGCTGTGGGAAAAAATAGCCAAGCTCGGCTCTCCCGACATCCTGGTGATTCATTTAGGGGAGAATGACCTTGGCAACAAAAAGGAGTGTGGACTTGTTGTCGAGCATAAAAAGAGACTTGAATGCATTCGCAGCCCTGTGTCCCAGAACGACAGTGTTCTGGTCCTCCTTCCTGAAAAGAACTGTGTGGCGCGGTGCGCAAGACTGTATGGCCATTGAAAGAACCAGGAAACTCGTAAATCGGGCGGTAGCCCGTTGGGTGCGCTTTATGGATGGCCGAGTGATTTATCATGACCGTATCCGGATTAGCGACAAAGCTTTATACCGGGATGACGGTGTCCACCTATCAGATCTGGGGAATGACTTTTGGTTAGCTAGTGTCATTAAAAACATCTGGGATTGGTTGCAGCTTTGAGGGTATTGGCGGCAAGCCTTTAGCTCGGGTGGCGGTTAGGCATTGGAATAATGTGTTGCGCTGTGTGGAAGTGCTAGGTGTGGCCATCGCCTATGCCTTCAATTTTTAGGGGTATTCCGTTAAAGGAATCTGGGGGTCGTGTATTCCGTCCGATGCCTGCTTGGCGGGAGGCCTTGGCACGACCCTCGGTGACAGCAGGGGTGAGCCTATAGTTGGATTGGCATCAACAGGCTCCACCTACTGGTGAAGAACCCACTTGTTTCGATCCAATGCCTAAGCCAATACCTTTTCAATTGCTGTAACCAATAAAGTTGTGGCCTTTTCTAGCCCATTAACCTTATATCACGTGTCCATGTGTCTTCATTTCACTTCACCGGGGTCGGGTCCTCGAACCACAACCAAGCCTTATGAGGAACAGTTGAGGGAGTTGGGTATGTTTAGAAGAGAAGACAGAGAGGTGAAAGGATAGCCACCTTCAAATATCTAAAGGGCTGTCACATGGAAGATGGGGGAAGCTTGTTTTCTCCTGCTCCGGAGGGCAGAACCTGAACCAGTGGATTAAAATTACCAGGAAGGTGATTCCAACTAAACTTTAGAAAGAACTTTCTGATTGTAAGAGTTACTTGACAGTGGAACAAACTGCCTCAGAAAGTGCTCAACTCTTCTTCATAGGAGGTTTTGAAGCAGCAGCTGGATGACCATCTTCTCAGGGATTCCTTAGGTGTGATCCCTGTGTTACAGCGGGTTGACCCTTGGGATCCCTTCCAACTCTACAATTCTATGCTCCTTTTGTTTTGTCCCTTGTATTGAGCAGATGGAGTTGAAACCAAGCAGGAAATTTTGCTATAGACTTAATCCAATGCGCAACAGCTTTCAAGAGATCTATACAAATGTCTTCCAACACTGGGTAACTGTTGGATTGGAATAGCTTGACAACTCTATGAGGTACGTTAGGCTGAGAGGCCAGTGACTGCCCCAAGACCACCCAGTGAGCTTCAAGGCCAAGTGGCGATTTGGTCTCCTGGGTACCTAGTTCGACACTCTAATCCAGAGAGCCAGTGTGGTGTAGTGGTTAAGAGTGGTGGACTCGTAATCTGGTGAACCGGGTTCAATTCCTCGCTCCTCCACATGCAGCTGCTGGGTGACTTTTGGCTAGTCACACTTCTCTGAAGTCTCTCAGCCTCACTCACCTCACAGAGTGTTTGTTGTGGGGGAGGAAGGGAAAGGAGAATGTTAGCCACTTTGAGACTCCTTAGGGTAGTTATAAAGTGGGATATTAAATCCAAACTAAGGCCCGGGGGCCGGATAAGGCCCGAGGGACTCATTTATCCAGCCCGCGGTGACCCCTGCCGCCCGCTCTTACCGGCACTGTGCTGCTGCCCACTTCCAGGTCGGAGGAGCACTGGAAATAGCTTGTGAGCATGAGCAAGGGTTATTTGTACATGCGTGTTATTTCCGGTGCACATCTGGGTCCGAGGAGGCCCGTGCACATGTGCACAAGCTATTTCCGGTGCTCCTCCGACCCAGAAGTGTGCCGGAAATAGTGTGTGCATGTGCTTCCCCGCCCTCCGCACAATCGGCACTGGAGACACTGGCCCGAGGCGCAGTAAGTTTGCTGACCCCTGCTCTAATCGCTGTATCCCACTGTGTCTCTCTGGTTTCCTCTGCGTAGAAGAAAAACACCTTCCTCACACATTTCCCAAAGGACAAATCCCCAGGGTTCTTTGGAGGAAGCTTGCAGTATACACGTACCTTAAGAAGGGTACCAACCATCACTTCTACCTGTCCCTGTGGGTTATCTAACCCTTCCAGCTTCCCCAGGAGGGCTCAGCTTGCTCACTTAGAAAACAAAAACCATTCTACCCAACTTAAAAATTTGTCCAGCTTTTGTTACTGCATTAAAACAGAACACACACACAAAAAAATGAGAATAAGGTCCCAAGGTAAAACAGACAGAGCACAAAAGCCTAATGTTTTGCTAGGAACCCATGGCATTTTCCGGAGCATCAGTCATGCCCTTGTGCCCAAAGCCTCCAGGGCTTGCTCAGCTTCTAAAGTAATCTGCATTAGGGTTTTTTTATGTTTTTGTTTTACAAGTACTGTGGAAGCGGACTGATTCCCCAAAGGTGTTGTGGCTGCATGTCCGCAGCTTTAAGCACTTCATTACCATTCTTTGTTTTACATACCAGCTCCTTGTCTTGCAGCTCCGTTTCCAATTCCTGGAGGCGCCTGCTCAGCTGCGCATTTCGTTCTCTCTCCTTATCTATTTCATTGCACTGCTCTTCCAGTTCGTCAATCTTAAAGAAGGGTTGAAAGGAGCCAGTCTGAGTTCCCAATCCACTACATATACTTATCATTTGCTTTTCACGTTTTTAAATAATGGAAACGTTGCAGGAAAATTAGGAGATAGCAGCAGGTTGCTGAAGGGGCTGGGGAAGGCCTAGAGCAGAGTTTTTACCAAACTTGGGTCTCCAGCTGTTTTTTGGACTACAGTTCCCATCATCCCTGACCTAGCTAGGGATGATGGGAGTTGTAGTCCAAAACAGCTAGAGACTAATTTAAAGCACTTGTTTGTTAAGGGTTGCTAGGAATTGTAACTCTGAGGGATAAACTACAACACCCAGAATTCTTTGAGGGAAACAGTGTTCTTTGAATGTGCTTTGGAGGGAAAAGCAAAGAGGCTGCAACCACAGCAAAAAGGCTTGTGTATAGGCCAGCTTATGAAGCCAAGATGCAATCATCCAAATGCAGCCAGTGTGTTCAAGGTACAGGTCCTTATGAAGGAAAAAAGAACTCATTTCTGCATAGTTCTCCCAGCACTGAGCAAAGCTGCCTTTCCCCACAAATCAAGTTCAGTGTTGTGGGATTCTTGCTACAAGTAGCATTGATGGAAACCAAAAAACCCTGCTGTCAATAAACTTCTGCCAGGAGTGTGTGGGTCTATTGCCGTATTTTTTGCTCTATAAGACTCACTTTTTCCCTCCTGAAAAGTAAGGGGAAATGTGTGTGCGTCTTATGGAGCGAATGCAGGCTGCGCAGCTATCACAGAAGCCAGAACAGCAAGAGGGATCGCTGCTTTCACTGTGCAGTGATCCCTCTTGCTGTTCTGGCTTCTGAGATTCAGAATATTTTTTTTCTTGTTTCCCTCCTCCAAGAACTAGGTGCGTCTAATGGTCTGGTGCGTCTTATAGAGCGAAAAATACGGTAACAGTGAAATACCGCACCATATTATTTAGTGGCAGTGCACACTACTATTCCTGGACTGCCTCCAAAGTTTACACCTTTTTGTTATTCTCCCCTGAAATTTACATCAGGTACATCTAATATTGGGCAAAGCAGTTTTTAGTAGACAGGAATGATTGTGCCTTGACCTCTCCATCCAGCAATTTTTGGACTATCCTAGGGCAACTCAGCAGAGCTAGGTATGCATGAAGCGGCCCAGGATTTTTATATTGGCTAAAATGCATTTTAAGTTCTCAACTTTTATTTTTGCAAGTTGCCAATGCATTACATAAGTGAAATAAACGGATCTACCTCCAAGGTGTGTTAAGGACCAGGATCCATAGGCTAGCTATTAAGTCTAGATACTAAAATATTCATCCCGGAGTAAGAACCAATTTATTTGCTACCACAAATGCTTAAGACCCCTGTTCTTCTCACAGAGCTATACAGTGGACACTCCGGATACGAATGAAATTCGTTCCGGGGGTCTGTCCACAACCCGAAAAGTCCATTGGCAGAGGCGCCACTTCTGCACATGCACACAGCGCAATTGAGTGCTGCTGCCCATGCGTGTGCGTGGCACTTCTGGGTTTGTCGCGTTCATAACCCGAAAGTTACGTATCCAGAGCGGTACGTAACTAGAGGCTCCACTGTAGTTCCCTGAATGGTTTAACAATAAACCTCTCTTCCCAAGGAACCCTCAGATCCCTGCAGTTCTTGTCCAATACTCCAACCAGAGATGGTGGCTCTCAGGTCCATGGGCTCCTCCTTTGGACATGACCCCTCCTCAATCCACACCCCTGACTAGCTGCTGCTGCTGCTGCAGCAGCAACATCTGAGCTCTCCTCTTCTGGAACCTTCGCCCTGAGCCCTGCCTGGAGCTGTCCAGGGTACCATTGAAGCTTTGCCTCTGTAAATTGCCCAAACCATCATTCAGAAGAGAAGGTTCCCCAAAAGGAAAGGCAGCCCTCAGGGTTGGAGAAGTTTCCTTGCTCCACATCTAATCCTCACAGCACACTGGCATGTTTTCTGACTAATAAAATTAGTAAAGCACCACCGTTTCAATTTGCTGCATTCGATACCTTGCTCCTAAGTTGATCGTTCTCATCTTTGCAAATGGAGAACTGCTTCTTCCAGTGTTCTATGCTGGCTGCAGATTCTTGGAGTGCAGAAGTCAGTCTGGCATTGCTCTCCCTAAGACTGTGCAGTTCCGTTTCCCATTTCTTTACATTGGAGGAACTAAAAGAAAGAGAGGGGGTGGGGAATCACACAAACATTGGAGATTTCTCTATAGTTTTTTCTATAGACCAGATAAGAGGCACTCATTATGTGGCATATAAAACACCTCAGAACTGGGAGGGGAAAGTAGTTTGAAATATACATAATCCTGATTAACAGGGATGGATTAAGCATTTTTTAAGATTAATCACACACACATATTCCAGTTCTCTCTCTCTCTCTCTCTCTCTCTCTCTCTCTCTCTCACACACACACACACACACACACACACACACACACACACCATTCAAGTTTACTACAATACAACAGCTCTGTTCATGGTATAATAACTTCATATTTGGTGAATATTACTCATATTCATATTTATTGTTTACAGCAGGTCAAATAAAAAACTTTATACCTCATGAATTGTGTGCCTTATTATGCTAATCTTCTACAAACCTATTCCAGTTCTGCAAAAAGGCTGTATTTTTTTGGTCTCCCTTCTTGCATCCTTATATAACTCGTAAGCTCTGTCATTATGAAATATCCATACTTTTCTCAATTCCCACAGTCACCTTGTAAATTTATATCCATTTGCTATGTCCAGCCTTCCAAGCATATTCCCAAACTGCAAACGTAACTGGATTACTCAAACCCATTTATTTTGGGCAGTGGTGGAACCAGGGAGTTTCCTAAAGAGAAAACACGTGCCATTTTGGCTGCTTTCACACGGGCAATTTACTGGACTGGCCACACTTTGCACACCTACTTTGTGGCGGCAGGGTGCTAGAGTAAATGGCCTTTACGCTCTTCTTTTGTTCTTAATACTAGAAAATCTCTCTCATGGAAGTCTTTTGTTCTTAATACTAGAAAATCTCTCTCATGGAAGGCTGACTGTTAAACACCTCTCTCGTCAATATCATAAATATATCTGAGGGCGTAACAATGTCCAAGAACAGTATCGGTGTTTTAAATCCTTCCAGCAGGACAAATACATGTGGCGTGGCGAAACTTCTCTTATCCTCTTTAAACAGCATAAAGGTATAAAGCATCTTAGCGAAACAAAACAAGGCACACAAAGTGACCCAAAAGCTTCTCTCTGTCTCTCTCTCTCACGCACAGAGCACTATTTGTATTGCTCTAGTATTGGTGGATCACAATAGACCTCCTACTTATTTGATTTTGGCTTCCAACAGGTTTGACCATGTTTGGGTGGGCCTGTGTTTAAAAGGGCAGGGGAGGAGATTGCCACATGGGGAACCTCCAGATGTTCCCAGCTCCCAACTCACATCAGTCTCAGGAAGGATGGGCAGTGGCCAGGATTGCCGGGAACTGGAGTTCAACAACATTGCGCACCACTGTAGGGAATGTTTAAGTTAGAGCATGGGAGTTGAAAGGAGCATGGACTAGAAGCGGCCGCCGAGACCACATAACACCGGTCCTGAAAGACCTACATTGGCTCCTAGTACGTTTCCGGGCACAATTCAAAGTGTTGGCCTTTTAAAGCCCTAAACGGCCTCGGTCCAGTATACCTGAACGCCCTCCCACCAGATGTCAAAGAGAAAAACAACTATCAGACTTTTAGAAGACATCTGAAGGCAGCCCTGTTTAGGGAAGCTTTTAATGTTTGACAGACTACTGTATTTTAATATTTTGTTGGAAGCCGCCCAGAGTGGCTGGGGAAACCCAGCCAGATGGGCGGGGTATAAATAATAAATATTATTATTATTATTATTATTATTATTATTATTATTATTATGGAGTGAGCCAGTGTGATGTAGTGGTTAGGGGATTGGACTGGGACCTAGGAGACCAGGGTTCAAATCTCCACACAGCCAAAAAGCTCTATGGTTGACCTTGGACCAGTCATAATTTCTCAGCCTAACCCATTTCACGGGGGTTACTGTGAGGATGAAACAGAGAGGGAAGAGAACCTCATGTGTCACCTCAAGCTCTTTGAAGGAAAAATAGGATAACTGACAGTTGGAATGGTGGTGGGATTTTATTTTATTTTTCAGCTGACAATTTGAAAAACTAGAGGGTGGTAATAGGTTTAAGAAGTTACTAGTTCTATGCTTAGAGGGCTTGGACACTTACCCTGGTACCTATATTAACACAGTGCTGCTACCACAGTAATAATGTGGCACGACTTTATCCAAACATGTTTGTAAGACATGCTTGTATTATGTGAATTGCAGAGCTAAGTTTATAACACGTCAGTTACTGGTGTCCAGAACAGAAAATGACCAATCCACTTAAGAAATAGGCAATACGTATCATAATAAAAACCATATAAAAAAGCAAGTTGTAGCAGATTTAAAAGAGCAGCCTGTTAAAAACATAATTAAATTAAAAATGGATTAAAACACAGCGAAGCAGGAAAAAACAATCAGCTCAGTGGGCCAAACACCTGTTTAAATAAAGAGGTTTTTTTGCCTTCTGGTAGAAGAATATCAACAAGAGAACTAGACGAGTTATCTCAGCAGGGAGTTTCAAAGTCAAATCAGAGCCGCCCAACCCCCATAGGATAAAGTTAGCTCTCAACTCCTGCTTGCTATCTAACCACGCATTTAAAGCAAATGACGTCCCACAAAGAAACTTGGGAACTCTGTGTTGTTGAGGGTGTTGGGAATTGTAGTTCTGTGAGGGGAAACTACAGTTCCCATGCTTTAAATGTGGTGTGGATTTGCCCTAAGAAATGGCTGTTGGTGCTAATTGGGACAGACAGGGTGGAAAGCAGGGAGGACCAACAGTAGGGGGAGCCAGAGTGCAGCCACTTCCCTGACTGTTTGTAAGTAGGCAGTGACTGGCTGAGGGCAGACTGACGTTGTTTGGGCAGTGCTTCATCCACCCTAATAGCCCAGCCCCAAGTACCATATTTTTTGCTCTATAAGACTCACTTTTTCCCTCCTAAAAAGTAAGGGGAAATGTGTGTGCGTCTTATGGAGTGAATGCAGGCTGCGCAGCTATCACAGAAGCCAGAACAGCAAGAGGGATTGCTGCTTTCACTGCGCAGCGATCCCTCTTGCTGTTCTGGCTTCTGAGATTCAGAATATTTTTTTTCTTGTTTTCCTCCTCCAAAAACTAGGTGCGTCTTGTGGTCTGGTGTGTCTTATAGAGCGAAAAATATGGTACTCTCCCACTAAAAAGCATGGGCACTTCTTTTGACCTGGGAACGCAGTGACCAACAAATAGCCAACAATAATGTAGTCATGAAAGCAGCTTCACCTCTGGGCTAAGGCAAGTTTCAGTTTGTCATTCTCTGTTTTCAGTTGTGCATCTGAGGGACCACCATGTGACGCCTTCTCATCGTCCGTTCCGTTGACGCTGGACGCCCGAGTAGAACACGGAGTTTCGCGGCCTGATTCCTGCACAACGCATTCCGCAAACCAAAAAAATTGTTACGATAAAGGCCTGCTGCTTCTCAAGGTGCTACAACGCAGAACCCCCGCAGGCGCCCCCACCATCTTCCAAACGACCCAGAGGGAACACCTTCTGCAAGAAAGGATGGTCATTGTATTTCAGAGGGCGGGTCAACGCAATCGGATCACTTGGAAAAATTGTTCCTGGACTGTATCACCTCAGCTTTGAATGCTATTGGAAAATTATCCATACGCAAAGATTTTCAAGCCCGGCTGGGAGATGGCTAGGCCCAAAGTCTTCTCCTTAAGAGGCAAAAATTTCTATTTCAGGGGCAGGCCGAAGGTAGATTTGGATCTACTGGTAGATTTCTAAGTGATCTGCAGTAGATTTCAAAATGTCTCTGCTTACCAATGCTTTAACAAGTTCAAGTAAAAATTGAAGTTTTAAAAAAAAATCTATCATGGCTGGTCTTGTGTTAATTGCTTCTCTCTTCACATCAGTGTCCCTTGCTTGTCAAATGAGAGTACTAATTGGCTGCCATATGTCTTCATTCAGCAATGTGGGCCAGTTTTGGAGGGTTGTGTTAGAAGCACTGATGTCTGGAAACTTACAGGTAGATTTGTATGCATTCCAGGGTGCAGGTAAAACTGGCTTCACCATTTTGTGACTGGCTCTCGCTTGCAGACCTTAACATTCCTCTGAATTCTCCCTGCTATGAGTGCAAATGAAGGGAGCTCTGGAGATGCCTTTTTTAAGGATAGCGTGCCAAACATGTGACTCTCTTGACCTAAGGTCAGAAGTCGTACAGTCCAGGAACAGCTTTCTCAGCTCATCCGCTGGTGGCATCTGCCATCAGCCTGGGCCATTAGGCATCGAGCAAGCAAGCAGATCCACCAAAAGCAATCACCAAGAATCATTTTCGTTGCTGCTGTTAAAATACTTTACTTCTTTGCTAACGCTCACCTGAAGCTGACCCTGGGTAGCATTTTCAACTGCTCTTCTCTTTCACAAAATCCATTTTCAAATCAACGAGATCATGTTCCCATATTCCACTTCAGATAAATCACTTACTTGGGAATGATTGCTAGAAGTCTCTGTTTTTTCTTGAGACCGGTCTCTTGCCAGTCTGGCAGCTTCTTTCACCTCTTGAAATTTCTCTGCAAACTGAGCATAAACACATAAGCAAAGTGTTACATTAGGACAGCCGCAAATAACAGCTTGCTCTAACTGATTTTAAATTAGCCTGCATGAATTATGAAGGTCCATAGAGCAGGCGTGTCCAACTTTCAAGAGACTGAGATCTACTCCACTATAAAATAACTGGCAGTGATCTACCAAAGTTGATTTCGGTAGATCGTGGGGTTTCCGCGATCTACCGAAATCTACAACATACCCCCATGATCTACCAGTAGATCATTATCTACCTGCTGCACGTCCCTCTTCTAAGTTCTCACTCGCAGAATATAAGCGCTGAGAGGGTGCGGCTGGTGTGGCTGTCCCTAGTTCTTCCAATCGCTCGCAGGAACAAAGCGGCCAGAGTCCTAGTCGCGCTGATTCGCGGCTTCGTCAGCGGGCTGAAGACGTGCGTCAATAACAGGAGGAGGAAGGCACCGTGCGCTGCCGCGCCGTGGGGAGAAGCTTCGGGTAAGAGGCGCCGCGAACAAAGAAGAAGCAATGTATAGTCGGAGGAAGAGCAGGCTCGGGAGGGGGACGTCGGAGAT